AAACAGATTGCAGATTTGAAATCAACGAAGTGAAAATACCAGATAACTGTTAAGAAACCTCTCATGCAACTTCATGGTTTTAATGTCCCTATCGTGGAGAAACTATTAGATTTATTGTTTAGAGCAATTTCTATGTTATTATTGCTCAATTGCTTTTTTTACATAAGTTTCTAATCGCTATGAGTTTTTAATACAAATTTTTACTTTCAAAATCAAGCCATTCAATTATCGACCTACATGAATTAATGATTAATGCTAAACTATCTTAAAAATACTAGCAGATAATTTTTTATTCAAGCATGTTCTACTTTAGAAGCTATAAATCAAAGTTTTGTGATAAATTCATCAGTTTATGTAACAAAACCAACCAAATTATCATAAAATTAAGTTAGTTATTCATCATTCAAAAGACTTTGACAAAAATATGGTAACCAAAAAGTCATTGAAATTGCTGCACTTATTGTCACAATATTCAGTCCTATACTGGATAAAAATTGTGGTCTGTATCCACCTTTCTTCTAGTTCGTCAACATTTTAGAAATGAAGAAACATTTTAAATACAAAATTTTCATAAAATTTTAAATATGCAGTAATTACCCGAGAAATAATAGTTTATTTATTAATGCATAATTTATTTAAGTATAGAAGGGTTGAATTATTTTCAAGCCACGTTAGTATGAAAGCAGTAACCTTAAACTACTTTTTAATCTTAGGTCACCTTTTCTCAACGTTTTTGTATTTGCTACTGATTTTCAGAAACACTTAAGGAGCGCTCTTTGTATGGTAATTATTTTCATAGAAATCTTACTGTAAATGCAACATTAGTTTCCATATAGTATAATTTAAACTAATTACATTTTGACGCTAGATTAACGCTATTATGTTTATAACAACCTTTAAAAATTACTTAATTAGCTCTGTACAAAAACCTATTCCAATAAGCATTTGCATACAGAACTTTCTGATTTTTTCCTTAATTATCACTCGAAATTTATTAGAAACAGCTAAACTCAACAACGTAAAAGGCTTATTTACTTATCAATATTCAAAATAGGATATTTGTATGATTAAGATTATGCTCAGATATTGAAATTAATTTCTGCATTAAAGGATATTTTGTGAAACATTAACTTTTCTCTGCAAGACAAGCAAAATGGAGTCCCCAAAAAGTATTAACTTTGCTTTTGATTGAATATTGCTGAGTTAATTATTAAATAAATTGCGTAGTACTAATGAATCTTTTTCATACGAGTATAATACTTCGATTATCTCCCGAAACACATAAACTCAACAACGTAAAAGACATATCCACTTATAAATATTCAAAGTAAATTAATGCATAGACAATTAAATAAAATATTAAATTAAGTGACATTCTGTCAAATATTAACTGTTCTCTGTAAGACAGACCAAATGGAGTCCCCCATAAGAATTAATTTTGTTTTTAACTTAATATTGAATATTTAATTATTAAATACATTGCGTAGTACTTATATAATCCTATTCATACGTAATAAAAAATTCCGTATCAAACTACGGTAAAAAGTGCGGACACTTTGTGGACATTATCCGCGAGAAGTCCATTTTTTAGGTAAAATACGTAACGTAATTTTCACAGTAATATTAGAGTGAATTAATGATTATTATTGCTGCAAAAACTACGATACATTAAGTTTTTTTGTACCGTAGCATATTTCGGTAAAAATGAGTTTTACAGCAAAAATTAGTGGTATTCTGAGTACCAGTATATTTATCCCGTAATTTTATCCGAAGTTTTAACGTGTATTATTGTGATGTTGCTACATCACACGTGCGTTGTTTTTCTACTCCTCAATAGTTTTTTCAGTTTTCGTTCTTTTTAACCGCAATAGCCTTTTACTTCATTTAACTTGTTTGACTCTTTTTTCGTATCGATTAACCCTACCCTAACTTTAACCGTATATCGTTTTTATCGCTTTTCCGCGTGCCTTCTTGGCGGCAGTCGAGGAAGCCACCGTGAGAGAGAAGCATCGCTCTCATTTTTATGATAGCTTCAAGGCTCTTGCCTTTCTGCTCAACATTTGTCCCTTTTTACAAGAAATAACTATGGAGATTCATTAAGTCAAAAATTTAACAAAATAATTTCAAGACACTATCACGTTCCATTAAGATAAAACAATGAAGTTTGACACGTGTTCCTGATGTTCTACTGTCCAAGTGTGCATGCGGCACGACTCAGATAATTTGTTGATTGTATAAGAACTGGAATCCATCTTCATTCAAAATGAAAATTATCTTTTTCGTCTAAGATGTGAGTTTTTCCCCACGAGATCCCGTATGTGTTAACACCACCTGTCCGGAGCCACCAGCATCTAAGAATCAGTCATGAGAAGAAGAAATAAAGTTCCTTAAAATTTCCTAAAAGAACTCTTAAATGTTTCAAATCCAAGTAGCACCATTAGACCACACGATCCTGGAGATCCTTCTGGAACGAAGGATCAGGTAATTGATTTGAACAACATTTCACTATTACGATCACTCTTTTATGTTTTTATTTATTTCATTCAATATATATATATTTAAAATCATAACGATATAACAATTATGGATGAAATGTATTTTATTTTTTATTTCTCTAGAAAGTATTTTATTGCTTTCCTTTCAGTAAATAAAATTAATATTTCAGCAATATTTCTTCTCGAAACATTTTTTTTTTGTGGATGCATTCACGCCTCAGCTAAATTTTATCATGCCTGTCTAGTAGGATCCTCCCACTGGTTAAAAATCCTAGTCATAGTGTGATAACGATATTCGATATTTATGTCTAAAAATTTTTTTTGCTGGTAAAATAAAACATTCGCTCTTTTTTACCGTTAAATTTTCTTGAACATTCCGAATTTACATCATTTGAAGTGTTTTCCGTAAATTGCTTCTTAATGTTTCTTTACGCTTTACTATTTCAATCGACTCATAAAACTGTTTTAATTAATCGATATTTGAGTCTAAAATTTTTTTTTCCTGTTAAATAAAGCTCTGGTTTATTTTAGGTGTAAAATTTTCTTGAACATTTTGGATTTGTAGTCCTTGCTGTAATTTCTTTCTTGAATTTTCTTTTCACTTTATTATTTCAATTGACTCAGAAAACGTTTTTAATATAACGTTTTACACAATATCAATTCCTGTAAATACCTTTCCGGGGCCTTTTTTTTAAATTGTTTCATGATTTTACGGTTGTTTTATTTCAAAATATTATCACTGCACTAAGAACTAAAATAAGACTCATTGCTTATTCTTTCTCTTTGTTTTAAACTCAGATTTATTTGCTACCAAGCAAGCATGCGAAGATATTAATTTCTATGAATAAAACATATTTTTTGAAATAAACTGGTTTAATAAAATCGGATCCGCTTTCTTGATTTATTTATTCATGATGCATTAACGTGAATATTTAATGGAAATGTAACCTAAAAAACGAGAAGATATTTTAAATATATCTCAGTAAATATTTTCTCATTTCGAACTTTTAATTATATCATTAATTTTTCACCGAGTTTGCTAAGAAACAAACTAACTAAACTTTTATTTCCTTCCTAAAGATTATTTTGTGGTATTCTTTAATTCAAATTTTGGGAAGCTTTATTTTACATATCAACTGGGGAAAATATTTAAGACTATCGTGAGAGGTAGGAAATACTAGACATTTTGGGGATAAGATAATAGACTGATAATAATGTTAGTAAATACTTTATTGTAAAGCTGCCTTCTATGCGTAAAAGAGAGTTTCGAACTGCATTAGTCCAGAGTCACCAATAGGAAGTGAAGAATACCGAAAACTTCTCATATTTTGAAGAAATGGAGAAATAATGTTGTATCAATAATGGAATTTGAACTCCCGTTGCTGGTCAAGAGAGAGACAGGTTTGACCTCTTCGATGAAGTAAATACCCTAAATCGTGGATCTAAATAACATTAAATTCCTCGTCACAAATTAATTACTATAAGATTATTACGCATTCACTGTTTTTACAGATAACCGATAAGGAAAAATAAAAATATGGATTCGTAATCCTTATCTCATGGCTTAACTTCTAGCTTTCGAACAGCGTGGGCGTGGCTCTCATTGTTCGTAGGCTTAGTTAGTGCAGACAAAATTCTGATATCTTAACCATATTAGGTGAAACAATTCAATAAAAAAAATTTTACAGTTAACAGTTTGAATACTGTATTTGTTATGGCTATTTAACTGATATTGCTGAATATAATTAAGTAAATAAATTTTCATTTAAAATTTCCCAGTAATTTATAGGAGTGAATTAGAAATATCGAAACGATTCTCTGTGTAAGAATTGTTAAAAAAAAAGATTATGCTTTATTTGTTGTCCGGCATGATATTGTTCAAAACTCGTTAAAGGTAACTTAGTTTGATAAAGGAGTTAATGCGTTAAATACCTATGTTTTTTTGAACTGATTACATTGAAACCCGATATTATCACATCAACAACCATTTTTCGTATAACAACCTGAGAAGAGTGGGAGGTGTTATTATCGTGTGATTTGATGAGCTAAAATATCATACAAACACACACACTCACGTACGCACACGAAGCATCGTTTTTATTGTGTCTGTCATCATTTTTACAACTCATTTGTTAGAGCTACGGTGGCTCAGAAGACAGCTGACAAAGAATATATGTGATAATATAATATATGTGATAAAATTTGGTAATTTTTTCAATGATACTTTAGAGCATGACATAAATTCTATTTATTTGGTTGAACTTCAGTTTTATATTTTTCACTATATGTATGGTAATAATAACTAAAATGTTGAGAACCAGAATCTTTGTAAGCCACGTTACCATGTGTTAGCTTTTACATTCTTTTATTTCCACAGACATACAGAGACGAACGATAAACAAAAACATTAATAACAAGAAAAAGTCGTTTGGTTGCCTGGCAACCAGCTGGAGTTGCAGTTATTATATCGGCAGACGATTTAAAACAATTATTAAAACTAACTGTTTATTGATGACGGATAACATCCTCCCCACCCTGGTCAACCTCTAGAGGGATGACCAGCTGTATGGGTCGAGTTATAGTATTTCCATTCACTCTTAACACACATGTTCGGATTTCCCCATCACGTCCCTTAATTAGGTTGGTAATTCGGGCTTTCTTCCACATGTGTCTGGGTCTGACGTCTTCTTGTAGTAGCACAAGATCTCCTGCACGGATGTTGAAGGATTTATGAATATTGCGAAATTGGTGATAAGAGCGAAGTTGCAGCAGATATTCTTTGGACCATCTTTTCCAAAATATATCCAACACGTCTTGTTGTTGTTTGAAGAGTTTCGTAAGTCTAAGATTGTTATTCGGATTTGTGGGTATGGATGTTAATTTTCTACCCGTTAGGAAATGTGCCGGTGTCAAGGCTTCCGTATTGTCTTCATCTCCCTCTTCATATACAATGGGTCTGCTGTTAAGGGAGGCTTCTATCCCTACTAGTACAGTTGATAAATTTTCATTATCCAATAGTGCCCGACCAAGAGATTTACGGAGACAATTTTTCACTAATCCGATTAGGCGGTCCCACCAACGTTTGGTTGCCTAGAAACCAGCTGGAGTTGCAGTTATTATATCGGCAGACGATTTAAAACAATTATTAAAACTAACTGTTTATTGATGACGGAACACCATGCAAACGAAAAAATTAACAAACAGATGGTTGATGAGTATGATCTAGTTTTATTAACTTTATGCTTTTGTGATGCCAGAATTGGCATACACATATTTATTTTCTATCTTTTAAAATATTTTCATTACTTAAGCTGATTTTTTATTAATAAAATTACATTTAAAATAAATCACAAACTTAATCTTTTTAAAACAAACATAAAATATTTATTTCTTCTCTTCCAGATCAATGTAACGGATACTTTTTTTATTTCATTACTAATGCAGACTTATATATTCACTGTCGCCTTTAATCGAAAACAAAAATCTATTTATAACTTTTTATTCTAATTTTCCAACGGCTAAATGTTTCGGTTGCATGGTTGTAATAATTCACATAAATTTGTTGGCGACTCGTGATCGCCAAGGTATTATTTTAACTCTATATTGATATGCTGGTTGGCCTTGTTTTGGCTATGCTATATTTTAATAAATCGCCAATTTTGGATCTCCTACCAATGCTTCTGTGTCCGTTGGGAACAATTTACATGTACTTTTTAATTTGGCTTTTGATTAGGCAGGT